AGAGAGTATAGGGGGAGAATGAGGGAAAGAGTGCAAAAGGAAGATTGGGGGCTCTGACGAGGGACAGAGAAGGAGAGAGGGGGGTTTAAAACGTCAGCGCGTGTGGGAGCCTTGCTGCCAGTCTACATGCACTGATATGTGCGACGCTCGAGGAGTTTGCTCGCGGCTCGCGCACTGGGATCCTAACCGTCACCAGCACATAAAAGCGCGGATAACGGAGATGATTCCCCTCACACAGCGACACGAAACGGAGCAAAGTGTACGCAGATGGCAGCGAAGAAGTGTCCTGTCAGTTTCCACACACCTCTGGATGTGACGCGCTCCAAGTAGCGGGAGTTTACCGTGACAGACCGCAGGTGGGATTCACATAAGAGGAGAGCTCGGATTTGACTTTTTGTTGGACATGGGACCGGGTCTCGTCTGTTTTGGATACGGTACCGGAGGAACCGCGTCTTCTTGAACGGAGAGCTGTCGACAGTAGGACACCGACGAGATGCGCTCCGACCACGGCTTCATCCTGCTGCTCCTCAACGGGACAGCCTGCTTGGTGAGCGGCCAGGGGGGTGATTTGAGATCTAAGGGGTGATGTTAAGTTTCAGTTTTGCGTTTATTGAACCGAACGGCGTCTCTGTCAACGGTTGAGTGGTGCGCTTCAAGTAGCCGTCACCTGCGCGTCAATGGGTGACCGTTAACGTCTTCCCGCCGTGCGCTCGCGCTTCACACTTGAGGGCGGGAGTTTAGGATGGACTCGCTCGAGCGCGTTTTGACGGTTTTTTGAACGTCACGGTTCGGTTCGCGCGCAAGGGGTCCCATGCCTATTCTGTGTGAGAGTGTGGAGGAAAGAGAGGGGAAGAGGAGAGCTCCAGTGAAAAAAGCGAGAGGCGTCGCGATCCTGATTTTTCGAGGGGGCACCGTGACAGTAGAGACTCACCTGGTGCCCTAGGTAGATATGTCAGGACCCAGAAAGAGGGGCTGAAACGAACACACAATGTATTTAACAATTCTACAAACTTTTTGTGCAAAATAATTTAACAGTAGCCTATCACATGAGTGAGAGTACTGATAATCATTTCGACAGCACAACTGTGAGTGTGATATTGCTTTTATAAAACAGCTTTAATACAAGTAATTAAAAAAATAGCTAGTTTCACACCAAAAGACCATAAGAAGCTAGGTGTCTATCGATAAGCAAATCACAGACTGAAAGCTGGCCTGGAACAGTGTGTTTGAATGGAACGGAGCACCTGAGAGTCTGTAATCACTTCAAACGATCATAAAAAAAAAAAAACGAGTTATTATAAAAACTTATAAAGACTTATAAAAACTTAACTCCGCACCACTCACATACTCGAATCGGCATCGACAAGACCAAAGAGAAGTGGTGTGACACAATCTGATATAAACTTAAAGTTAAGGAAGAGGAAAAATAATTATGTAGTTGCTGTTCACAGTGCCAGGAGACCAAAGTTAAAATTCCTGACCTTTCCTATTTTAAATAAACCAAAGCCAAATTTGGCATTTTGTGAAAATGTTTCCATTTCTAGAAATAAGATTTCTAGGTTATATGTAAATTAAAAAACTATTCTTAGTTTTAAGTGAACTAAGGCAAATAATTTGTGGGAGGCCTAACTCAAATTAAAAGTTTTTGGATGTGTGAATGAATGATTAAAAAAAAAAATCATTTTACACATTTTTTGTCCCTACAATAAGAAAAGCAATTAAATAACAATTAAAAATAACTTTTCTGAATAATATTACTATTAATATTCATGGCTGTCCTGCATGGCACTTTTGAGAATAAGACAGATGGTACTCTAACAATCCTATAGACCACGTTTTGTTGAAGAATGAAGAATGCCTGTAGGAGTAGGATGCCCTCAGTGTCAGTTGTTGTCTTGGCACACTGTACAGAGCTTACGCTGACCTTGGTGTACCTATGACTGATATCAATGGGTAAAATATGCCAGGGTATCCATAGTTTAACTTTAGAGCAAAGGTTGTGTACGGCTGCCTGTTTTTCATGCACCTGCTGTGAGGGTGTTATAGCTTAACACCCGCAGTCTAAATTTAATCCCCCTCTAGCAGTCTCTGTGTTACAATTATCTGCTGTGTAGCTGGAATAATTCATGACTTCTTCTTTGACACATTTTAATCCTCATGTATTCTCCAGGGATACAAAATGCTGTCATTAAAGTGGCAAAAAAGAGAAGCATATCAGAATTAAAAATCGAAACAACAAACAAGCATTGCTTTATTTGCAGTTTAATTATGCCACATACTGGAACTTTCGGTAGGATGTTGCATTAGTACAAATCCAGCTTTCTGCTCTAAAGCCTCCCATACGGCTACTAACATTTGTCCATTTGAAAGGGGGCGGACAACTAATAACCGTGACAAATCTTCCCTAGATTAATTACAAAACACCTACTTGTAATTAACTGAGAAGGGGCTGCCAGTGAGAGGAAATTTAATAAGGTCACATGCCCTTAAATCTCTAACCCAAGTTTGGATTTGAAGGAGGGCAGTCCTGAGAGAAATACACAGCGCACATACCAGGGCATCACCAATCTTCTGGCTTGACAAATTTTAATAAAGAACAAACACAATCTTACAGAAATGTATCAGAGTGAAGTTGATATTTTTTTCCCTTAGTGATATGAAAAAAAAAACCACTGCCAAGAAAAGAAACAGGCTGAAAAGAGCAGACTCATAAAATTACAGGTGAAGGTTATAAGGAATTGAATTAAAATACCATACACGGTCTGCCTTGTGTGACTTGCAGAATGCTGTCAGTGCATACCTTTAGATATATAACATCAGGAAGACACTAATAATGTAATTATCCAATTTAGCTTACGGCATTAGGTCATTTATCTGCCACATTACTTAAAACCTGAGGGAGAGTCAGACGCGAGAAAATGGCTTACGCGTTCACACACCTCAATTGGGCATCATGGGTAATTCATTTGCTGTGTGACAGTGATAAATTATAGAGCAATCCATGAATTATCCCTTATTAAACACTATTATGCCGTTATTATTAATAGACATGTAGAGCACATTAATAATCAACCTTAATTTTCATCAGCTTTATTGAAACTAAAGGGCCTGCTTTAATAAAGCCTTCAAGCTTTTGCCTAGTTAAACTCAGGAGCTTTCATTAAATCTATGGCCTGTGCCATGAGCTGACTGAGTTTAGCATCTAAGAAAATCCACTGATCGACTGATGCTTATGAGGTTAGAAACATCAAAAACCTGGCTGCATACACATTGCAGAGTTATAGGAGCAAATCCACAAAATTATCATTTTGTGTGTGTACTGAATACAGAAGTCACTCTTGAAACCATAGCAATGTTTTACCTGTTTTATTTCAGTTTGGTTCTGTACACACTATATAAACTTAAAGTCGCCATTAAATAGAAATTCTAAAAATAGAAAAGATCATCATCTTATTAATCTTATTGTGATTGATTCATCCATGCATATGCTTCATTTTTTAAATGTTTTTTTTTGTCAACTTAATCTTCCGTGAAGTGAAATGACAGATTTCACTCTTTCGCAGTATGTCTGATTTCTCCAATCATTCAGTCCTTTTAAACCCCACCTCTTTTAAGCCCCAAGCTCACATTCAAATCTGCCTCCATCCAATCAGCGACTGATAGATTGAAAGATAGATTGAAAATAAATAACCAAATTCTGTGCGGAAAGAACAGGAATAAGAACTCAGATAGGTAGTATTTTGCTGCAGTGTGAACATATACTGAACAGAGGTATATTGCACACATTTCAGTTAACACACTAAAATATGAAACAGTACAAAATAATAATAATATAAATGAATACAACAAAATATAATAATAATAATAATATAAAATAAAATAAAAAATACATACACACACATTATTGCAGCCAATTAATTCCTGTTCCTTAAATACTCACAGAATCAACGGTCATCTTTTGCACCCTCTTTCTCTACTGATTGTGATGATTTAAGTGATTTCTCCACAGAACAATGTCATGCAGTCAAGAGCTTATTGCAGGCAATTACCGTGTTAAACGTGTTTATGCTGATGATATTGGCCCAGCATCATTCTCATTATGAGCTCATTAAATTAATACAGTTACAAGATGTAATTTTTCAGAGCAGGCAGTCCAGTTTCTACACTGTCACGAGGGAAAATAAACTACACACCGACATTAAAATCAGACAACTCCGGTCCATCTGTCTGGGCGTGTGCAGTAAGCTTTGGTTTTGGCATACACAGAAATGATAAAAAAGACTGTTTGTTAAAGTGCATGCATTTGTTTGGGTGCAACACCAATTCACACACTTTTCGTTAAATGCATGTGACCAATATTGAGGAAAATTATTTGTTTTCAGGCTCATTCAGTTTAGAGGGACATTTTTGATTGGATAGTCATACTTCTTAAGCTAAATCCCGAAAAAAGCCAGGACAGAATAGACCTGAAGCCATTAAGGAAAGTGTTTCAAGCGTGACTGTGTCAATTAAACAGTGTCGCTTGATTTTAAGCTCTTAAAAAATCTGTTTGCGTGCCATAAACGGTCAGATATTCTCTGACTCACCTGTCCAATGACTCGTCTCTTCTGTCCCTCATGGTCTGCTGCCTTGTCTGGTCAGATTTACTGTAAACTCTCCCCTAGATTGACCCACAGTTCGTCTTGAGACAGTAAGGGGGCATGTTAGTCACTCAGACAAACAAGACAGACAAAGCACATTACCAAAGGGCACTGTGAGATACACATTTTAAACACTGCTGTCTACCTGTGTGGCATGTATTAAATGCTGATGATTTTATGTATTAGCACAGACTGATTGACCCCTGGTGGAGCTCATGTACTGTAGGCTTTCCCATCCACCTCATCTGTCCCAGAAATGGGCATCATTGACATGGCAGGATTTCCCCATTGAAGATAAACTAGAGAAAAGCACAGGACAACTAAAATAGCACAGCTTCTATGCATAGATTATTAAGCCCTACTGTCAACATCCAATAATATCTCAGTTAAATGCCATTATATAAATATTGAAGCACTGCTTAATTGACACTAACTCTATGGTAGTGAGCGTGCTTACATTACACTAAGCATAAAAGGCAAGAGGTAGATTTTGCAGTGGTCTCTCTTTATTCCGATTATAAGGCTATGACATTAAGGCCAGAAACACACAACACAGACAATGCACTGCAAGTGCTCTTGGGTTACTGTGGTGGCTAAAACAAAAAAGCCTCAGTACTCAAGGGGGCGACAGAGTTACCTTTGTCATTTCATGTCTGTGACATTAAACCAGATGTGTTGTTGTTCAGGCAGACAGTTATATCATGACAGTAGATTACCTGACATAGCAAACTGGCTGTTAAAGGCAAAGCCTGATTTACGCCCATTGCAACCACGCTGAGAACACGACATTTACTTGTATTGCATTATGAAGTGTATTGTTTTGAAATGCAGTGATACCTGGAAATGTCTGTGTTCATGTACTCCAATATGTTTCTGGCCTAAAAGAGAACCATCTGCTTGAAACAGC